GATATCCAATGGTTTTTATTATATTCACAAAGTTGTGCAACCATCACCACGTTCAATTTTAGAACATTTTTTTATTACTCCAAAAAGAAATCTCATACTCATTAGCAGATACACACTCGCCCCCACATATACCCCATTCCTCCAATACCCCCAAGCCCCTGGCAGCCACAAATCTATTTTCTGTCTCTGTGGATTTGCCTATTCTGGACAATTCATATACGTGGAATCATATAATACGTGGACTTGTGTGTCTGGCTTCTTTCATTCAGCATCATGTCTCCAAAGTTCATCCATGTTGTAGCATGTGTCATTGCTTCATTCCTTTTTATGACTGAACATGCCATGGTATGGGTAGAGCACAATTTGTTTATCCATTCATCATTGATGAGCATTTGGGGGTTGTTTCCACTTGAGTCTATATTAACTGTTGTAGATACGAGTCACCTGGTAGATATGTAGTTTGCAAGTATATTCTCCCATTCTGTGAGTTGACTTTTTACTTTCTTGATCCTTTGAAATATGAAGGTTTTTAATCTTGATGAAGTCCCAGTTTTTCTATGTTTTCTTTTGTCATTATGCTTTTGGTGCTATATTAAAGAAGGCTTTGCCTAACTCAGCGTCATGAAGTTTTACTGTCACATTTTCTTGAGAGTTCTGCAGTTTTAACTCTTGTGTTAAGTGGTCTGTGATCCATTTAGAGTTATTTTGTGTATGGTATATAAGGAAGTGGTCCCTCCTCATTTTTCTGCATGTGGATACCCAGGAAAAAGGATGTTTTAAAAAATATCTTTTAAGACCAAATTTTATGGGTTTTTAATGGTAATTTCACCATTAAACCATGGAGCAGGGGGACCATCTACAGAGTAGGTCCCCTTCCCTAGATTTTCATTAACTTTTCTCAAGGTCCTTATTAACTGCTTCTACAGGGCAGAGAAAAAGGGCTCAAATCTCACTGGAAAGTTTCAAAATATCCTCTAAAGTCACACTTTAGAACTGGGTTTCTTTTCTCTTTCTCCAGCTCACTCCTGTAAAAAAATCCTGTAATTCATTAATTTTCCCTTCAGTGCTTGTCTGATGGGCATCTTCTATGAGGAGCCCCCACAAGAGGATAGAGGGACAAACAACGGCCCCACCTCTGGGAGCTGGTGGCCGGCGGGTGGCAGGCTAACAGTAGCTGCCTGAAGGCTGCCCAGAGACAGGACCAGTGCCTCCCATTTAATCTCACCATAACCCTGCAGCTAGGCATCTGTGTCCGACCCTCACTTGCCAGATGGGGAAATAGGATTGGTGAGGTGGAGTGACCCCTTGTCCTCCCAGGTCCATTGAGCATGCTCTACCCCAGGAGTGGGGATGATACACGGGGACAGAAGGGTACAAAGGGTGCCCAGGGTCCAGGCAAGACTCCCAGAGCTGCAGGGCAGGAAGCAGCACTTGCGCTGTGCCAAGCTAGATGACATCACCTCCCAATACAAATATGCTGTTGTTGGCCAAACTTCACCCCGAGGAGATAGGGCCAAGACGACATCAGCAGACTCTCCATTTCACAAGCAGCCTTCACCGTCATCCTGCAATGACAAAAAAGCTGAGTTGAAGGGAGTGAGCAAATACTGTGTGATGAAAAGACTGTCCTGGGAGGAGAGGACTGGACAGGCAGATTTATGTGTCATGGAGATAAATATTATTTATTTGGCAAAACACAGCAGAGTTAACGTCATTTTGAATAACTTGTTTACCCGGTGATTGTGTGATTCATTAACAGCAAAAGGCTCATTGATAGAACTGAAGTTTGAAATGGCTGTTATATTTATGTATCTGGTTGTAGTCACCACTGCAATACAGAAAGTAAATCAATTTAAAATATCTCCTGGGGAAAACAATGTGTAATAAATGTGGTAATTAATAGGCTTGGGTGATCAGAAAACCCTCTCCATCCCTGAAAAAAAAAATAACTGTGAGAAATAATTATTTCAAAGTTGGCCTGAGAAGTTTAAAAAACAAACAAACAAACAAAAAACAAAAAAACCCCTAAAGATAAATAACCTAGTTGTTTTCTCAGTTAAACAAGAAATCAGTGCTTACCTGGTTTTTGAGACACTCCCTGCTGGTTCAGACTTCCCTCTCTCTAATCCTCCTCCCTCAGTGAGAGGCTGGCCTTTCCTCCCTGCACACGCCTGCTCCTCAACACTTGCCCCTGGCCTTTTGCAGCTCCTCTTGCCTCGACTCCCCTCTCCTGCCCTTCCACTACCCATTTTCTCACCCTGATGCCCCCAGCTCACCACCCTACAGCGCCCTTCTTTAATGGCAGAGGGCATCTTCCCAATTTCTTGCGGCAGTCAGGAGAGGGCATAGCAGAGAACCACGAAGCCAGGAGGGAACTTCAGGAGTGATATTGTCCAGTTCTTGTTTTATAAATGAGCAAATTGGGGCTTAGAGAAGTTGAGAGTTTCATCCAAAGTCATGTACAGGAATCCAGCTGTAGTCCTGCACAGGGCCTGAGACTGAAGGACCTAGAAGTCAGACTGCCTGCACATTAGTGTAGCTCTGCCTGACCCAGGTGCTGTGTGATCTTCTAGAAGTGACCCAACTTTACCCTGCCAGTTTCCTCACCTGAACACGGGGGCAATGACCACATCTATTGTGCAGTGGGTGGGAGGTAAGAACCTAACAGCACGTGTAAAGCCTTGGGCCCAGGGCCTGTTTGAGCCCTCAACCTGTGAGTGGTGCTATTTCCTCTACTTCCCCCTCCCTGGGATCACCCCATGTGGGTGGTGGCACTTTGGGAAAGGAAGAGAGCACAGCCCCAGTGACAAGCAGAGGGAAAGCCTGGGCCTGCAGACGGGCAGTCTGGGCAAGAACAGATCACCTAGGCCAGTCCTCTATTTCTCTAGATGGGTTGACCAACGTGCGCAGAGCTTAAGCAGCTGGCCAAGGCCACACATGCCCAGTGGCAGAAGATGGGTTGGAGGCGAGGACCCAATCTCAGAGCTTCCACATCAGGACATGCCTGGCCCTGAATGACTGCTCTGGAGGGAGCTGTCTGTGGTAGACAAGGTTCCTCAGAGACAGAAGCAGCAGGATGCACAGCAGTCTCCCCTTACCTGCACTTTCCCTTTCCGTGGCTTCAGTTAGCTGCGGTCAACTGCGGTCCAAAATTATTACATGAAATATTTTGAGAGAGAGAAGCAATATTCACATACCTTTTATTATAGTATATTGTTATAATTGCTCTACTGTATATCATTGCTGTTAATCTTACTGTGCCTAATGTATAAATTGAACTTTATCACAGGTATGTATGTATAGGAAAAAACTAGCATAGTTAGGGTTCTACTACCTGTGGTTTCAGGCATCCACTGGGGTCTTGGAACATATCTCCCAGTTAAGAGGGGACTACTGTATCTAGATATACAGAAGGAGATTTATTATGAGAGATTGGCTCATGTAATTATGGAGGTTGAGGGGCCCCACAATCTGCTGTCTGAACACTGGAGGTCCAGGAACACCAGTGGTATTGTTCCAGTCCAAACCCAAAGGCCTGAGAATCAGAGGAACCAGTGGTATAAGTCCAGATCTGAGTCAGAAGGCCCAAGAACCAGGAGCTCTTATGTCCATGGGCAGGAGAGGATGGCATCCCAGCTCAAGGAGAGAGAGAGTCCACTCTTCCTCTGCCATTTTGTTCTGTCTGGGCCCTCGGTGGACTGGACAGTGCCCATGCACATTGGGGAGGGTGATCTCCTTCACTCAATCTACTGACTCAAATGCTAATTTCTCTCAGAAACACCTCACAGACACACCCAGAAATTATGTTTTACCAGCTATCTGGGCATCCCTTAGCCCAGTCAAGCTAACACTAACATTAACCATCACACCATCCTTCACCAGCTTCCCAAGGCCCATCTGGGAGAACAGCCTGTGGTTCCAAACCCTGAAACTGCTGGGGGCACAGGGAGCCTCAGGACATAGGGTGAGGGCTGCAGGGCTGGCCCTGGTCTTCAACCATCCCTGGTCCCAGGTCCCTAGACATCAAAGCTGCTGTGCTCCTGCTCAACAGACACAGTGCCAGTCTGGGAGGGTCCAGGTTTGCAGAAGGGGTGTGTGTGTGAGTGTTGAGTGTACACTGTCTTCCCTCCATCTCCAAGGTGCACAGAGAGCCTGATCGCCCTGCTGGCTCACTGTCCCATCCCGGAGGAAAGCGGGGGGACCCAACAAGCCTGCACCTATGCGGCAGCCCCATCCTTCTGCACAGCGCTGGGAGGGTCCAGGTTTGCAGAAGGGGTGTGTGTGTGAGTGTTGAGTGTACACTGTCTTCCCTCCGTCTCCAAGGTGCACAGAGAGCCTGATCGCCCTGCTGGCTCACTGTCCCATCCCAGAGGAAAGCGGGGGGACCCAACAAGCCTGCACCTATGCGGCAGCCCCATCCTTCTGCACAGCGGAGGAAGCAGGCTCTGGTAGTCGGATGACTGACCCAGGTCAAACAGCTGGGATGGTCCAGAGAAAGGACTGCCGACACCCACGTGCCCCCCACATCCTTCAACACGGGACTGGCGGACCCAAAGAGCCTCTCGAGAGGCCAGTACAGCTGAACTCTGACCCGTTAACTTGGGGCCTGTGAGTTCTCTACTGCTTCCCCCAAGTCTGAGCCCTGGAAAGGAAGGTATCAGAGTCTGCCTAGCAAGGCTGAGTCAGAAACGCTCCCACAACCACACTGCCAACAGCAGCCAGCACCTGTCCTCTGGCGCTACTATGGCCTCCCTTCCATGACCTCCCCACCATGGGATGGAAGGTTGGAGGCCACCTCCTCTCCCAAACATGCCTCCACTTCTGTGAACTGGAGCTGGGGTGACAGGTCAGTAATTCTGAGAGGAGAGGACCCAGGTGAGAGCCCAGAGGTCACAGGGCCTCGCAAAGGAGGTGTGAAGGGCTCTCCTCACAAACCAAGGACTCCTGGCTTCACCCAACACACACACACACACACACACAAAAAGCCACCTCCACAGAGAAGCACCACAAACAACTTCTTTATTCAAGCCCAAATGTGCAGCAGCCTGCCTCCAGCCACATAAGGCCCCTCCCTCCCAACTCCCCCTGCACGCCACCACAGCCTAGCCCAGGCCCATCCCCCACCACTCAGAAAGGGCTCCCCCAGTGGGGGTCCAGCTGGTCTGTTTCAGTTTCTGAATTTGCCCACCAGTGGCTTCGAGGGCCAAGCCCCTAGGCCCTGCTGATCCAGGAGGACAGAGAGCTGCCTGCGAGCCTCCTGGTAGGTCCCAGCCTAGGGCAAGAGACAGATGGGAGGTGAAAAGGGTGGGGGGCAAGAAGAGGGGAAGAAAGAGGGTGCTTGCTGGGTGGTCTGGGGGTGGTACAGGAGAACCCAGAGAAAGAGGGCTGTAGGGGGCTGGAACTGACCTTGGCAGCTTCATAGGTCTTCAAGGCCAGGAGGTGGGGCTTCCCCAGAGCTTGGGCAGCCTGGTGAAAGGCCCGGAGAAAAGCTGCCTTACAGAGGCGGGAGGGAGGCCCGAGGGCAGTGCTGGGGGTGGGAAGAAGACATGGAGATCAGAGGAGGGAAAGGGGCTGAGTGAGCAGGCCTGCCCCCACTGCTCATGCCATCTCCTTTCTTGCAGTGACAAGGTTATGGGAGCCACCACCACAGAGCTGGTAAGGGGCAGAGTGTGCACACCTGTGGCAATGACCATTGTGCATGCTCTTACCCCATGGGCAGGGAGATGGGGAACCCCTCCCCCGCAAGGCCCTCTCCTCAGCCAAGCCCTACAGGGCCTTTCTCACTTGGCCTTCACACGCCCGGTGGTCACGTCCACAACCTCGACATCAGGGTCCCCCAGGCTCCAGTTGAGGCTCAGGCCACGGCAGGTGTTGGCGGTAGGTTCAGAGGGGGCCACAGGGGGCCCTGCAAACAGGTGCAGGGTGCTACGGATGTAGGGAGGTGGCAGGCATGGTCCCAAGACTCTGTCTAGGCTGGGCCGGCCATGGATGGCCCAGCTCAGAGTGGGCAGGTCATGGTGGGGGTCAGCTGTGGGGGCAAAAGACACAGGACAAGGTCTGAGCCACCTCCACGCTCTCCCCCACTCCCCAAGCTCTCTCTTATCCCCCCAGAGCCCCTCACCCAAGACCAGGCTGGTGGCATAGAGAGGTGGCAAGAAGTGGGCCAGCAGGGCGCCACCCAGCCCCAGCACAGCCCAGCGTGCCAGCTTGTCACTGGCTGAGAGGCAGACTACGTGGGTACTGCGTAGCACGGGTGCCACATAGCACACAGACTCCAGCTGCCCGCGGACATGCGCTTGAAGACGGAAGGGCGGCCTGTGCAGGGTATCACCCTCCGAGGATGATGGGAAGCTGCAGGGGAAGGCAGAGGGGACAGGGACCAGCACACCAGTCAGGGGTGCTCTTCTCACTCTGACCCTCACCCAATAGCCAAACCCAGAGACCCCCACATACTAGATGTTGTGGGCCGCTCCCTTGGGGGTGTTACTGACATAGAGGTGCAGGAAGATCCCGGGCTTGAGGGCGAAGCAGGGCCCGGGCCCAGCATAAGGGACCAGCAAGGACTGCTCCTTGCCCTTGGTGCCACCCTGCGTGGCCAGCAGGAGCTGCCGGAACAAGAACCTGAGAGCAACAGGCAGAGGAGCAGTTGGGGCTGCCACGTTCTGGCCCTGGGCTGCAGCAGAGTGGCCACCCGCCTGCCCCTCACCTCAGCAGGGCCCGGCGCGCGATGACCAGACCGTGACAGTCATGGAGCTGGCGGCCGGAGAACTCCAGCCGGCCAGCACAGCTGCTGCTGCCTGTGCCCAGTGCCACCAGCTGGTAGATCTCCTTGGCATGGCCCCTGGCACCCGGGATCTCTGGCAGGGAGGGGCAGAAAAGGCTCAGTCTAAGGCAAGGGGACAAGGGGGTCCTTCCAAGGGGCAGAGAAAAACAGGGCAATCCATACCCCTCTCCAGGATAACAGCAGCCACAGTCCCTTTGCAGGCCCGGTACGGTGAGTTCTCATCCAACAGGCGGTCAAAGCCGGTGCTGACCACAGCTGCACAGCGCTGCTCGTGGGTGACAATGTTCTCTGTGCAAGCACAAGAAGGTAAGGGTGGGGACCCCACAGGACATGCCTCGCCCTTTGACACTGGGGCTTAGGTCAGCAAGAGCCCACCTACCAGTGCTCAGGGAGGCAAGTGGAGGCCTGCTGGGGGTCCTGGGGGGGGGGTTCTGAAAGACAGGAAAGGTGAGCCAGTTGCCATGATGCTGGGGTCTACCCTCCTATCCTTTGGGAAGCCAAGGGGAAGAGGAGGGGAAGTCTTCATCTTCCAGACATGGAAAGTTCCACCAGCTGCTCTGCTAGTAGTCTCTGTCCCCAGTGTGGGTGGGATTCAAAGGACATTAGAGCAGTGGTCAGCACACATCCCTCTCCCCAGCTCCCTGCAGGTCAGGTCCTGATGCCCAAGTGGTCCTTGCAGCAACCTAACCCCTGTGCGTGCGTGGGCACACACACACAGCCATTTCAGCCTCCCAGTGGGACTGATTCAAAGGACATTAGAGCAGTGGTCAGCACACATCCCTCTCCCCAGCTCCCTGCAGGTCAGGTCCTGATGCCCAAGTGGTCCTTGCAACAACCTAACCCCTGTGCGTGCGTGGGCACACACACACAGCCATTTCAGCCTCCCAGTGGGACTGCAAACCTTGGGCCTCTTGTCCCCAGCTGGGCTCAGTACCCAGCCCTCCCTTACCTGGGCTCTCCAGCTGACTCCTGACGTAAGAGAAGGCAGAGACAGCCGCCTGCTTTTTGGCCTCCGCTCTGTTATTTCTGGTGCCCGCAGGGCAGACCACCCCATCCAGTTCCTCACACACAGAGAAGGGGAAGCAGGGACCTGGGGAAGGACGGGGTGATGAAGGAGCCCCCTGGCCTTCAGCCCCATCATGGGCCCGAGTTAGGAGGGGCCACTACACCTACACTCCTGCCCCCAGCAGCTCTCACCTAAGCGTCCCCTAACACAGAGGACAACCAGAACAACCAGAAGACCCTGACCGCCCTTCCTGAACTGCGGACTCCAGCCACATCAGGCGCTGCTGCGCCCTCGCCAGCCTAAGCCCAGCTGAGCCCTCACCAGACTCCTCCGGAATAAGTATGGAAGCCTCCCTTTTACAGACGGGGCACAAAAAGGGCAGGCAGCTTGCCCGAGGTGGTGCCGGGACCCAAACGCAGGTCCACGTGCAGAGCCCGCGCTGGGGTTCACCTCCCCGTGACCCTGCCACAGGTGGCGTCTGGTGTAGCTGATGTGCCCTCTACCCCTGCTGCTCACGGCGGGGTCCGCCCTGAGGCCCCCAGCCAGAAATTAACTGTCTGGACACCCTGCTTTATTTTCCCACCAGAAGGGATTTTGAGTTGACTCATAAAAATACCACAAGACAGCAATTCTTTAAGGCGAGGAGCTAGGCATGAAGGGAAAGTAGGAAAAATAAGATAGTCGGGCATGAGAACAGTTTACATGAGGCCTGCTATGATGTAAAACGTGTTCTTTTGAAGGGGGCTGCAAATCTCACTCAGTCTTAGAGTAGCCAGATACCGGGGAAACAGGACCAGTTACTCAGTTCACAGTGTTTGCCCTGGCGGCTGCTGCTGCCGCTCATTGCTACTCCTGAGCTTGACGACACTCACCAAGATTGTGACAGTGTGGATACTGGGGCATATGAGGAGCAATCGGTGGAAGCAGGAACTTTGGACTTGGGAAGAGCAGCCATGGTGGGCTGGATAGTTTCAACCTCCCAGACATTTCAAGGATTGGTATCAGGAAGCCACTATGTTTGTGGTAATTTGTTATAGTAGCAACAGGAAACTAATATAAGTTGTCTCCAATTTTTTTTTGCAAACATACCTCTTAAAATAATTTTGAAAAATTGTGTAGAGCCAATTTTTTAATCCCAAGTTTAAATAATTACAAAAGGTGTAATTTCTGATTTATTATGCTATGATCATCCTTTAAATATATTTTCACCAAAACCACAGAGATGCAGATTAGCACATTCCATTTATGAAAAATCAGCCCAGATGACCTAATTGGCAAAGGCCATCCTCATAGTCAAACAAGTTAGCTAAATCAGACTTCCTGTCAGAAACAGTCTGACTTTATTTTTCAATTTAAATAAATGTGTTGGTATTTTCCCAGAAGGATCGTCTCACCTCATTCCCTCTCTCATTGATTCAACATTTGTTGAGCGTCTACTCTTCTAGTTATTTGGAATACATCAGAGACTGACACAGAATTCCAGCCCTCGTAGAGTGACTTCTGAATTCTAATTCTAAGGTAGATAGCTAAGAAGGCAAGTAGACTAACCCAGAGTTTGAAGTCTTGATGAGAGGGTATCACAGCCCATAGTATTTTATTCTTTTTTTTTTTCTTTTTTCTTTTTCGAAGACTCTTCAATGAAGTATAACATTACATCCAGAAAAGTGTACAGATCTTTCAGTGAATTTTCACAAACTGGACACACCTGTATAACCAGCACTCAGGCAAAGAAACATAATGGGTCCCCCAAGACACTCCTCCTACACCCATCCGCTGTTACTTCTTACTGAACTTGCTTTTCTTAGTCTTTCAGGGACTCTCTCCCGTAGGAGCTCTGCTTTTCTGGAATCACACTCTCGTTCGGCAGGAAACGCTGACTATGAAGGGGCAGTTCGGGAAGGAGAGCCATCGGATTCCAAGCACCTCCCAGATAGAAACTATATAGACAAAGTTGAGGATTTGGAAATTGATTCTTTAAAACAATGGTTCTCAAAGTATGGTTTCTGAATCAGCAGCAATAGCATCACCTGGGAGCTTGTTAGAAATGTGGATTCTTGGCCCACATCCCAAATCTACTGAATCAGAAACTCTGGGCGTGGAGCCCAGCAGAGGGTTTTAACAAGCCCTCCAAGTGATTCTGAGGCACGCTCAAGTTTGAGAACTAGTAGGTTAGGATAATAGTAAGATTTATGATTGGATGGTGGTTCTTAAAGCATGACCCCCAGACAAGCAGCATCAGCATCACCTGGGAGCTTACAAAGGCACATTATCGGGCCCCACCCCAGACTCACTGAACCAGAAACTGTGTTTTAACTCACCCTCCAGGAGCTGCTGGCGAGCTAGAGTTTGAGAACCACTGCCTAAAGCTATCTGTGCCTGACCACCCCCGGGAAGCCTCACACACTCCCAGGGATATTTGTACCCTTGTTTGTAAAGCCCACTTCCTAGGATTTAAGGACAGTCAGTAGGATACCTACTAACTAATACTCGCACAGTGCCTGGATCATAGTAGGTGCTCAGTAAGTGTTGAGTGATTCATTTGATACAGCAACTCTATGAGATAAGGAGTGGGTGAAGTAGAGGTGGGATCTCAACCCAAGTCACCCCGGCCCCCACTATCCCTACTGGATGGGCCACGCACCGCCCCTGCGGCCGTTCCTCCTCCGCCCGGGAGGTGGCGCGCTGCGATGCTCCAGAGGCAGGGCTGGGAGGAGGGACTTCCTGTCTCCAAGGGAGCACTTCCGGCCATGCCCGGAAAACAGTTCATTGCTGCAGAGGGGGATGTCCCGTCCTGAGCGCTGGGGCTAACGTGCCGCTTTCGGGCTCCCTCGTGTCACGGGGGTCCTGCGAGCCTCACGTGGGGGCCCGTTTCCCAGGCGAGCACGTCGAGGCCTGGCCACGTAAGTGTGCGCGCAGACTAGGGATGTTCTTCCGTCCTGAGCGCTGGGGCTAACGTGCCGCTTTCGGGCTCCCTCGTGTCACGGGGGTCCTGCGAGCCTCACGTGGGGGCCCATTTCCCAGGCGAGCACGTCGAGGCCTGGCCACGTAAGTGTGCGCGCAGACTAGGGATGTTCTGGAGGGCGTACACGTGTGTATGTATGAGGGGAGGGACCGTCCGGATCTCCCTCCTCTGCGACAGGCTCACGTTTTAGGTCCCCGGCCTGGCATTCATGCAGACCCGACAGAGATCTACAGCCTTGGAGGTCTCAAGGGGCCTGGAGAGCCTACAGCGAGGCGGGAAGCCCGCCAGGGGAAATCGAGGCTGCCTTGTCTGAGGGCTTTTTTGAGGTCGTGGGTTCCACCAGCGCCCTCGGCCAACCTGGGTTTGTTTCAGGCTGTTCGGTTCCTTTCTCCTCCGACTCATTCATTCCTAGATTTGTTCTTTCTTTATACGTATGTTTTTAATGTGTACTGATTGTTACCATTGTAGCACTTACCAACGCACTGGGGATTATAAAGTTCCTTTCCCGTGGGGCTTATTAGAGCAGTTTTGAATCAAACAGCTTCCTCCTGAAATATCTAATTACAGGTTGCTATGCATGCTCTGGAGGAAGCACACAGGGTGTTTTGGGAGGATAGGGTTGGGGAAACTGGGAGAGGCTCGAAATCTGAAGGATTTTGTAGGTGGGGAGGGAGGATGCTGGGGCTCATTCTAGATGGAGAGATAATGCGCAAAGGCCCTGTGGTGAGAAGCAGCATGGTCAGGAAGAACCCAAAGGAGGCCAGTGTGGTTGGAGCCCAGGCATCGACAGGACTCAGGAATGAATCAGACACAGTCCTGGCCTTTAGAGAGCTTACAGTCTAGTGAAGGAGAAAAGAGTGCACGGATACACCGCAAAAGTTACACGTTCCCTGAGGAATTCAAGTATTTATCGAAACCGTGTGATAGGCAGTGTGCATAGTGCTGAGGGCTCATGGATGGAGGTTACAGAATAAACTGATAAGATGCAGTGGAAATTCCAAGGGAAAAGATTTTTGCTTACTGTTTTAGTCAGTTTTGTGTTGCTATAACAGAATACCTGAGACTGGGTAATTTATAAGAAAAGAAGTTTATTTGGCTTGCGATTCTGAGATGGTTGCATCTGGCACGGGCCTCAGGCTGTTTCTACTCCTGGCAGAAAAGCGGCAGGCAGCGGGTGGTTACAGGAAAATCACATGGCGAGAGGAAGCAAGAGAGAGAGGAGGTGCCAGCGTCCTTTAAACATCAGCTCTCATGGGAACTAATACAGCAAGAACTCACTCACTACCCCTCCTCCCGCAGGGAGAGCATTAATCCATTCATGAGGGGTCCGCCCCCATGTCTCAATCAGTTCCCAACATTGCCACATTGGAGATCAAATTTCCACATGACTTTTGGAGGGGACAACACATCCAAACTCCATCACTTACTAAGACTATAATGCTAATGTTTGCTTTTGGATGCATGGAAGAGCAGTGGTTCAGAGCTCTGACTCTGAATTGGATAAAGATCAAGTCTTCGCTCTGGCAATTACAAGCTGTTGGCCATGAGCAAGTTACCTCTTCCTGAACCTTAGTTTCCTGAACTCTAAAATAGGGGCAATAGAAGAGAAAAGACAGCATGGCATCTGGCAGATGCGAGTGCTGAGTAAGATCTCCTATTGTTTTTGTTAATAAAAAAAGAGGGATGATATGGCTGCTTATACTTCTGGAGGACTTTGTATTTACCAAAGCCCTTTGACGTAAATTTATTTGTATTCAACACATAGCGCATTTTCTGGGAGGCACTGTGCGTAACAGTGGGAAGAAAGATGAACAAAACTCAGTCCCTGGCTTTGGAGGAGCTCAAGCTTAGTCTTGGTGTAGTCTAGGGCACAGGAGTGTGGTCTACAGATGTGTACTGTAATATGTAAGAGCTGTGATAGAAGCTGGCCCCTTGCCACTGTCTGACTTCATCCTCTAATGCTCTCCTCTTTCTTCACTCTGTAGCTGCCTAGTTATTTCTCAAACACTTTCCAGCTCCAGTAGTTTTGCACTTGTTGATTGTTCTATGTGGAACCCAGTCCCCAGTTACCTGCATGGCTTTCTCCCTCATTAGGTTCAAGCTGTCCTCAAATGCCACCTTCTCAAGGAGGCTTTTGCTGGTCACCATTGCTGAAACCGTACTGTCAGCCATTACTACCCCCTCCCTTGTGGGTGGATGGGTGTTTTTAATGTAGCGCTTATTACTGCTTGGCATTAGGCTAATAAACTCATTTGTTTTTATTAACTGCTTCCTCAAAGAAAGTATATCCCTCTTAGGGTACTCTTTAGTCTCTCCAAGAACCGTGGAAGTCATTATCAAATTCAGGGTCTCTTGAGAAGGCCAGTGTGACATTTGGTCCTTGTTTTCCAGGATGGACTTCCCCAGCTCCCTCCAGCCCACGTTGTTTATGACCGGCCCTCTTGGTCTGAGCGATGTCCCTGACCTGTCCTTTATGTGCAGCTGGAGAGATGCGCTGACTCTGCCAGAGTCCCAGCCCCAGAATTCTGAGGTAAGGAGAGAAGGAGGGGCCCTGGCAGCTCCAGCGTGGGTCCCTTAACTTGGTCCCCTTGTCTAGCATTCACATCAGTTGGCAGGGGTACAGAGTGGGGTGGGTGGCATTAGCACAAATCTGCTAAGACACAGGCTAAGCCAGAATCCCCTCCTTTGGGGTACGTGGGATGCCCTGCCACCCATAGACTGTTTACTCAGTAGGAGCTATTGGCTCCCTCTTTCCCGCCTGTCTCTTCCCAAGACATTCATTCCTTTAATTGTTCAACAGATACTGAACAGCTCCTACTATGTGCCAGGTCCCTCATTACTCCCTGGGAATGCAGCATGAATAAGTCAGATGATCCCTGCCC